AATCGCACCCTTTTTTCGAGAACATCTCTCGGCAGACGCCAACTCGGATATTCATCGCCATTTTTTCCCGACGATGTTGAGATCGACAACTTTGAAGACGAGGCCGGAGAGAAAATTTCCTCAGACTCTGTTCCATTTTTCTTTTTCTATAAGAAACGGACAAAAACTTAGGAACTCAAAATAAATACCGTCAGTGAAATATTTTGAAGAATCTATCAACATCATTATCTTTAATTGGATCAATCAAAAAACATTTCCTTCCACTGGAAATAATTATAATTCTTTTTCAACAGGAAAAACAAAAGACGACGATGATGAAAGTCACTCAACAGTCATGAACAAAAGATCACAATTATCATCATCTTTTCCTCAATTTTTGGTTCTAAGCCACAAAATCTCTCAACTTTTCAGAATGTCCAAAATACTGCACGTACAATTAAAAGTAATTTAGTACAATAAATTATTTACACAACTTTTTTTTGACAAACTTCCTTGAGCTTTCAGAATAAAAACAAATGACTTTGGTGCCACTGGAAAACTCTCAGATCGTCACGAATCTCCCAAAAAATTTCAACTAACCTTGGGAGATGAGGGGGATTCTCCACTGTCCGACTTTCGCTTCCTTGGAGTAACCATACTGGAAATTTCTTCGCCAGACGATGTTGAGATCGACAACTTTGAAGACGAGGCCGGAGAGAAAATTTCCTCAGACTCTGTTCCATTTTTCTTTTTCTATAAGAAACGGACAAAAAGTTAGGAACTCAAATTAAATACCGTCACAGTGAAATATTTTGAAGAATCTATCAACATCATTCTCTTTAATTGGATCAATCAAAAAACATTTCCTTCCACTGGAAATAATTATAATTCTTTTTCAACAGGAAAACAAAAGACGACGATGATGAAAGTCACTCAACAGTCATGAACAAAAGATCACAATTATCGTCTTTTCCTCAATTTTTGGTTCAAAGCCACAAAATCTCGTAGCTTTTCAGAATGTTCAAAATACTGCCCGTACAATTAAAAGTAATTTAGTACAATAAATTATTTACACAAATTTTTTTTGACAAACTTGCTTGAGCTTTCGAAATAAAAATAAATGACTTTGGTGGCACTGGAAAACTCTCAGATCGTCACGAATCTCACATTAAATTCCAACTAACCTTGGGAGATGAGGGGGATTCTGCACTATCGGACTTTCGCTTCCTTGCAGTAACCATACTGGAAATTTCTTCGCCAGACGATGTTGCGATCGACATCTTTGAAGACGAGGCCGGAGAGAAAATTTCCTCAGACTCTGTTCCATTTTTATTCTTCTATAAGAAACGCGACAAAAAATTAAGGAACTCAAAATAAATACCGTCACAGTGAAATATTTTGAAGAATCTATTAACATCATTCTCTTTAATTGGATCAATCAAAAAAATATTTCCTCCCACTTGAAATAATTATGGCTCTTTTTCAACAGGAAAAACAAAGGACAACGATGATGAAAGTCACTCAACAGTCGTGAACCTTCCTCATTTTTTGGTTCACAGCCAGAAAATCTCGTAAATTTTCAGAATGTTCAAAATACTGCACGTACAATTAAAAGTAATTTAGTACAATAAATTATTTGCACAACTTTTTTTTTGACAAACTTCCTTGAGCTTTCGGAATAAAAACAAATGACTTTGTTGGCACTGGAAAACTCTCAGATAGTCCCGAATCTCACAATAAATTCCAACTAACCTTGTGAGATGAGGGGGATCCTGCACTGTCCGACTTTCGCTTCCGTGCAGTAACCAAACTGGAAATTTCTTCGCCAGCATCGGCGAAGGAAACGATCGGCGGATCAATATCCATCTCACATGGCTCTTCCGACGTTTTCGAATTCGTGTACAAGAGCTAAATGAAATGGTTTTAATTACAAAAGCCAAACGCATTCTTCCTTGGATATAAATGAACATACCCGCAGTTCATTCAAATTAGTAGCAGCAGAAAAGTCCTTATCATCACGAAGTCGGGTAATCCGCGGAAACCTAATCGAAATGCCATCCGCAGTGTGAACTTCATGTTGGGTAAATTCAGCACCAGTTATTTCCCAAACGGGGGACTTCTGAAAATATTGAAGAAATGTAGTGTTGACATTGTTGAACGATCCAAAAGCTCCACAAGAAATGGGAACATTTTAAAATTCAACAAACCTTCGGATCTTTGACAATAAAATCCGGTACCATTGTTCGTGATACTTGCAACCAGTTCGGCACTTTGCTGGCATCCTTCCCAATTTTCGTCATGAGAGGTTTGAAGTGATCCTTTAAACACAACGTTTCTAAATCAAAGCTTCAAACGCATCGAATCGGGAGAACTTACTTGAAACTTGGCTAACGTTTTATCATCCAAACCTCCATGCACCTTGGTGACAGTCTTCCAGACGTCAAGATCTTCGTCATGGCAACCCATCAGCCAAACTGACATCAGTCCACCTAAAAACAGATTAGGAAATAGGAAAAGAAAATGGAACTTTCACTGCATGGCCGTTCCTTGTACGTTTGCTTTTCTACTTTAGTGTAAGTTTGCATATCAAAATATATTCTGGAAAAATGAGATTCAGCCATCACAAAACAGTTCGTTGTTTATTTACACATTTTCTCGAATTCTGTAAAAAATTCTTCGGTTTTGTCTTGAAAAATATTTTTAAATTTTCAAATAAAGGCAAAGCAAATTATGAACCCATACGGGCAATTCAACTCGCACAGCCCAGTGTAGCAGTTGAATTCCCTAATACGCAACCCGGCATACGTCCAAGAGCTATTGTTCGGCGGGCTACAAAAATTTTGAAAGTGGCGGCATATTTTTCTCCTAGAATCCCTGAACTGCATTGCTGTAGCTGAGTGAAGATTGAGCATAATCAAGTTTTTTTGCTTTGTTTCCATCTCGATTAAATCAGAGTCCTAATCTTAGAAATTGTTTTTAAGGTTAAGTTTTTTTTTTTCAAAACCACAAATTTTTACGCGGGCCTGAGGTTAGAATTGAATGAAATCACCTCCTTAGAATACGAGGAATTGAAGAGATAAATCTGCCCTAGATGCCAATTTACCCTGACCAATGACTTACAAAGATGCTTCAACGCAGAACTTTCATGCCCAGCCAGAAAACTTGACCATTCATTGTAACCCAATTTGTATGATTAGCCCAAAATTTATCATTCTTTTGCCCGAAGAGCAATGACAAAAAGTTGTATCAGAAATACTGTAGTTCACGTGGAACGAATACACTCGTAGATCAGACAAGAACACGACACTAACCCTTATTCCCGGTGCCGTACCAAGCCCCAAGCACAACGAGATCAGCAGTATCCGCCATTGCTCCCTCAGCCAGATAATCCTTCTTCATTTTCATCCAGTGTCGTTTCCCCGGTTCATACATGCCCTTAGGGATCACACGAACATGGCTTGAGTCGGGGACTCACGTAGGCGTGCGCACATTAAGCAATGATGACCAGGAGTACAGCACGGGAATGGGATTCCCGGGGGAGGCTTCGGTGTTGAATCAACAACTTACCTTAGGATCCTTCAGCACGAGCCCTTCCAAGCCCTCCTTGATAACCCGAGAAATCATGCCCTGCAATTCTTCTTTCGCCTGAATTGAAAATTCGGAAAAAATGCAGTCTTATTGCGAAATTTGATACAGTATTTTGAACACTACCTTGATCAATTTGACCTCGGAAAACATGACATGATTCTTGATTTCGGTCATGTGAGTCTGTAAAATCCGCTTCCGCTCATCTAACGGCCTGTTGATCCGTCGAGTATACATTCAAAATATCATTGCTTCCTTGAAAAATAATTCTACTCACTTCTTCATCAAGTTCTCTCCATTGAAATGAATGCAGTCAAAGACAAAAATGCAGACAGTCGCATCTTCAAAAGCAGCTTTCTAACGAGAAATCAGTTCAAAAATCAATTCATCTCACACGACTTCATCAACAGAAAAATACCTCCGCAAATTAAAAAAGAATAAAAAGGAGACATTGAAAGTTTGATATAGGTAAGATATTAAACTGCATTAAAATAGACCTTCATGAAAACGTTCACGATCATTATAAAAAATGAACACCAAAGTTTGAAATTATTATAGGGAACAGACGGGAATCACCTTATGCTTTCCAAGCGTGCCGAAAGGCAGAAGCTTCCCCGTGTTAGTGTCCACCAACAAGATCTCGCTGTCCAGGATCATGTCGTCACCCGTTGGAAAAGCTTTCGGGATGAAATCCTTCAGGTGGGACACCTGTCACGAGCAAACCGAAAGACATACAAAAGAATAAAATCCTCTTCCCCAGCCTAGAAAAGACACGCAGAAAAAAGGACAACCTCGCAACTTATGCCAAAAAAAAAAACCTGAACGATCACCTGATGAATATCGAGAAGATGAGACGCTAAGATATTTCTAAATAGTGAGAAATTAATTAATTAATTTTAAAATACTACGCAGTGGGACCCCGTATACTGGACGAGTCGCGAACATGATTTTTCACACAAGAAACTCTGGGCTGCATTCGGATAAACAGATATTGCTCTATAAAAAAAATATTCAATTTGTCATCCTTCAAATGGATTATTTTTCTGTATATTTTGGCTCACGTCGCGCACTGTTTTTATTTGTCGCAATCGGATTATATACTATCCTGTGCGAGGAATAGCAGTGCTTGCACACTTCTCGGAAGTTACTGCTGTATACTGTGCGCAGATTATAGAAAGAACGCAAAAAAAGATTAGCCCGTTTTAGATCAGGAATAGAGTAAATGTAGAACATTTCTTTTAAATATTAATAGCTAAATCTGGTCAAGATATGTCAAATATCGAAAAATTTTGAATTTTCCATTTTTCTAGAAATCGCTTTAGTGTCCGATATCTCAAGACACTGTCCTGATGTTGAGGCAGACTTTTGAGTTTTACGCGTCCTTCAATCGTGCGTATATCGGGGTCCCACTATATTAAGAATCTTCGAATAACAGACTTGTCATTGAAAAATATGAAAGTCCTTTAATCGAGGCACCACAGGATGGTTAATCCTTCCCAAGATATTCAACTCTGACACGTTGGCCTCGAATGTAGAACACAACCTCGCATCTCAAATTTCGCCAGATGCATCCGGTCTCGCGTCCAAACTTACTCATCCTCCACCTTGAAACACAATACTGAAAAGGTACGGAAGTACGAGTTCTTGGCCAGAAACGCGGAAGTTATTAAGGACTTGCTGAAGAAATTCAACAGCTAAACCCGCAAAAAGAAAAAAAATTGCAACAAACCTTGTGAGGTAGGACAGGCTTCAAACTCCGCGAAAAATACTTGAAGTCATTTCCATGCTTATGAACCTGAACGCGTTCACCATCATACTTTATCTCCGCAAACATTCCATTCGGACATCGCTTGAAAGCGTGATCCACAGATTTGCTCGCTTCAGCCTAAAATACAGATAGAAAGGTTAGATCTAAGTAAAAATATCCTTCTCCTATTCATTTCTTTGATAAAATACAGGTGGACAGCCCTCTACAACGAACTTTAAGGGGCCAGAAAAAATTCCTCGAAGAGAGTTCCCATATCTTGAGGAGAGAAGCTTATGGAAACTCAAATTCATTATACAGGTACAGAGAAGATCGTTGTAGAAAGCGTCCACCTTCAATCTCAGCTCACAATAAAAAATACACGAATAAAAACCCGTGACGTTAATAACAAGTCTCTCCTCAAAAATCAACTTCCTCGAAAAAAACTTCCTTTCGAGAAGATCGTAGGTGCCAATTCAACCGTATCATCCGAACTTATGATTTTGGGTCAAGTTCCCAGTGTCAAAAGAATATGATTACGATACATAAACTCCGCCATGCTCCAGTTCATACTTCCGCCAACACAGATACGCTTTCGAATCTGGAATAGTTCCAGAAGAACGCGCGAGCCAATCAGTCCAATGTCACAACGCTCACGTTTTTCTTCGTCACCAGGGTCTTCCGGTTGAACGTCACGAAAAACAATAACCCGGTCACGTGGGGTACACACGTTATGAAAAAAAAAAAAAAAAAAAAAAAAAAAACTTACCAGTTTCACGAAAAAATTATAAGATCCCCTTACAGTAATTAAAAAAACACTTGTCTTTAATATACAAATCTCTGATTTCTACGCGTCGATACAAAAAAATAACATCGCCGTTTTAAAAAGTTGTGGTTAAACTGTTTCTTTACCTTTTGTTTAAATTTACCAGTTTTACAAAATCTTCAGCGATTTTAACACATTTTTCGCCTTCTCGGCACTCTTGGTCCGAATAGTTGAGATTCCACAAATCATGTACATGGGTTAAAACGTGCCGTTTTAACCCATGTACATGATTTGTGGAATCTCAACTAAACCGAAAAAAACATCAGCAATTCAGTACAGATGGACTCTCTACAACGAAAATCAAGGGACCAAAAAAAATTCGTGGTAGAGAAAATTTTGTTGAGGAGATCCTCTAGGCCTATAACTAGAGGATCTCTGGGGGAGGAAACCCAATAAAAAAAATTTGTTAAACAGAGAAATCGTTAAAGGTAAAGTCCACCTGTACTAAGAGGCATCATCAAGGATTGGTGAGTTTATTTTTTTAATTCTGTATTTAATTGCATTCCGATCTCGCTCTTTCGCAGAAAATAGTAAGCCATTAGACTGCTGGAGAAGCTCCTTATGGTAAGGTAAGATTCATCATCCGAGGATCCAAAACTATTTGAGTGAACAGCAAAAAATAACAACGAGAAATAAAGTAGGACGGAAGTGATTTTTAAAAAATCCTTGGGAGTAATATGATCACAGACAGTCGTCCGTTTTTTGCTTGAACCCTTTGAAAAAATTGAAAAATCGGGCAGCAAAAATCGGACATCCCTCTCCGCTGATGAATATTTATGCCGAAACCCTCTCCCGATCTTAAATTAGTGCAACATTTTAGTCGGCAAGAAAAATTAATCAACATTAATTTTCAAGTTGAACACCTTTAGGCGTTAACAAAGCCAACAAGTTCAATTTCGACTCACCAACATTGGAATAACTGGCGTCATGAGCGATGCGGCTGGATTAATCTTGACAGGAGACCCATTCAAAATGTCCGTCTTCACTTTGTTACTCCCCGAAAACTTTCTCACAACTTCGTCAAGATTTCTCGAGGCTTGAAACGTGGCATACGCATCCGGATGAATCGCTTCCAGACTGCCATAAAACAATGTGCGCAAAATATAATCTAAGATTAAGTCAGTATCCCAGAAAGCGTGGGAATGATGAAAACAACAGAGATCCGAAATTACTTACATGTGTTTTGGTCCCGCGGTTATTCGAAGGTCATGTACGATGAGTCGTATAAATATGACAAGGTCGTTCACCGTGCATCTATATAAAAGCGTTATTAAAAATTTTGAATGAAAAATTGTCTGGCACTACAATCCTTATGGAAAAATAAACAGCATACTCAGAAGCGTCTGACATGTAAACGGGATGAAAGAGCATCAAAAGAGGGCAACTGAAGGTCATAAGTTCAACTGGAATGCATTCCAGCCACCGAAGTGCATAAAAGAAATCGATTTTTGAAGCATCAAAGACAGGGAAACTCAGCAAATTAATTCAGAGTCATGACACCTCTTACTAACTCACAGGGTTTAGAATAGAATGCATTAATTAATAATGATTATATGATTTCTCAGTGATCTCGAGCCATTATCCAGGACACGTTGTCCTTGGTACCGAGAACTTCGTTACGCAGAACCCCGCTTTGTTATTCCCTTCGCCTCATCCACAAATAACTCAGAAAATAAAGGAGGCGGTATTTTGAAATTTCCCCAGACCAGTTGACGCCAGACGATCCGGGAACTTTTTCCAGAGCTGACACACAAAACGTCAGAAGACGTAAACGAAGCGTCACGCCGCTTTCAAGCCAAAGGCCGTATGAACAATGCGCCAGAAGTATAAATTAGCACAAGGTTGTCGCCTGTCAGCGCCGCAGAAGTGATCTACAGCAGAAAAGACCGGGGATACACATGGTATTCCGTCCCAGGGAACCTGAAAAATTGAAGGCCTTCGCACCCACCAGCCAATCTTTAAGAACATAATGCGTCTGGACCAAGACTAACAGACGACGAACTACGATGGATTTTTTTCAGAAGTTGTCTCGTTTCTTTACATCATTTTTCTTGGGCACAATTTTTTTGACGTCAGAATCCTACAAACTACTACTGTGGACATTAAAAAAAAAAGCACTAAGCAAGTCTCTACTCCATTCACTCAGGAATTTCTGCAATGAAAACCCGTACTTCTGCGAATTCTCGCTCAACCATTGAGATTTTCAAGCATCCATCAAATCCCGCCTCACCAACAAAAACACTTTCGAGAATTGGGAATTTTCATCTGAAGATGCTGGTCGTCAGATTGAAAATATCGTTTATAAGAAAGGCATACGCTTCCCAGAACAAATTTTTTTTACCAAAACCTTCAATAAAATCAATCTACATCACGTAGGAAAAAGAAATGCGGGGAAATACAACTAGGATCGAGAGAATTAAAATAAATATTCGGAGAAAAATAAACCCACGTGGAATCTCTATAGAGTCTATACAATAACTTGTCTACAACGATTTCCTCTGCATAACCAATTTATTTCTGGTCACCGCGAGTTCTCTCCGTATGTTATACGGGAAATTCTCTCTAAAACGAATTTTGTTCAGGTCCCTTTATTTTCCTCGTAGCGAGAGTCCAACCGTATAAAATGAACGCTTCGACAAGAGAAGACTTAACAAGCTGCTCTTCCATCAGCACAAACTTTCAACAAAACGCCGATCACTTGACTGGATCTCCTCAAGGGCGTCAATTCATCAACGCGTCCATCGACAGACACGTCAGTCTTAATTTAAAGCGCATCCGCTCCGTGCGCAGAAGATACCAGTAATCCACCCGCGACCAGCGTTAAATTTCAAGGAATCCTTGGTCTTAAAAATAGAACATGCAACGAGAACAACTTCAACGCATCTTTTCTTTTGGGAGAAAAGGGAACTATGAATGAACCAGCCACGAAGCGGAAGATCGAGCACGGATCTGGCATCCTTCCGTGCCTGACACGGCGACGCAGAAGCGACACGAGCTCTTCGCGAACTCGTACGCTTCGGCGAACGACAAGAAAAGCCACGACTTGACAACGACGACGAATGTTGCCCTCATAAATTCATCAGGCGAAAAACTTTTTCAGCGGTTGAAAAAAAAGAACTGACGATGAACGCTGCTATTCATTATTTCGGCGTAAGAGCTTGCCGCAATCAATGTCGGAAGGAAGCTGAACAATTCACGATGAATTTCACACAATTCATAAACGAAACTGTCAACGAACTCGGGAACAAATACTTTCTTTCCAGTGGGCGTAGAAAACTCTCATCGCAAGTGAATAGTCGAAAAATGGGTCGGCTCATAAGTTTTCGTCAGCTTTTGTGCTTCCATTGTTGGATGAATGTATGGAGATGATTGAATTTCTACAGAGCATTTTTTGATCAGTTCCTAACCAAAGTTCGAATTTTCGCTCTCCCACTTTGAAATATAGGTATAGAGGAGTCAACTTGTTTATAACGTATACCACACTGACATCTATTTGACTTCGGAAGACCCCGTTTCAGAAACTCAGGTACTCAAGGACCCCATTTCGAGTCACAGTACAGTACTTGAAACTTTTTGAACCAGCCAACGTCTGTGGCAACGCAGTTTTCTTAACGTCTGAGAATCTAAATTTAATCAAAATCAAGGGAAGTCAGCAACATAGTAGAAAAAACATCAGCTTTACAATTCAATCAGGAAAAATCCAATCAGGAAGAAAAAATCTGCGAGGAGGAACAACGACGACGACACGGTCTTCCAACCAGCCTCTCTTCCCATGACAAGCGTCGACTTGGCACGAGATAAATCTCGGTTGAAGAATCGCAGGACACGAAAAGCCCTCGTAACAATTAAAGCCAAGATGCGACTAGAAACAAGGTTAACGACTCTTTGAGCCAGAGAAGCGTCACAGGGCCGGAGGACCACAAGTCTTGGAACCGCTTCAACAAAAGAAAAAAAAAGGAAAAACCATCGTTCTTCGAAGGAGGAAAAATCTCTTCGCTTTTCACGACGCATCACATGTTGAACACCACATCAATCAGTCATTCGCATAACAATAAAAATAAGTCTTACCGCTTTGCGACGTTTTTCAAGACGAATGTCTGGTCATCTTCCTTCGTAACTTTCGCAAGTTCATCAAGCGCTTTATCCACTTCTCGCAGGGTGAGTTCGCTCTTCTTTGAGGGTAACACACGCTTACTTCGCTCAAAGTAATTTCCGATGGATTGGGCAACATCACCTGTTGTTTCGACTTCTTCCAACATGGCGTCAAAGTCACATTCGAACATATTGGCGAAAAGCTTCGTCAGTTGCCGACGCTTGAGGTTGTAGATACGTTTTTCGACGCCCGGCAAGAGCATTTTGACCCACAAGCATTTATCGCCTTGAAATCCCTCTGAAAAGTACCGTATGTAACATCCAATACAACGCCCATTTCCTCAGGTAAGACGTACTCTTGCGTCAGAAGCACGTCTTCATTTTCGCGTAGAAAATGAAGAATTCCCTCTAGGCATTCGTGGAAATAGCTCCCATTTTTTTCTTGTCTAATTTTGGGAGAAAAGGAGCAAGTTTTACCCAAGGAAATATACTAGTGTGTATTTAACCTGAATTCTGCTTTCATTCATGGAATGCTGGGCGTCCTCCCACAATAATATCTTGAAATATAAACCTTACCGAAAGAATCAGCCGCTGTCAATTTATCGACAAATAAACCGCCCACAAAAATTTACGCTTATCTCAAAAAGTAGCATTAACCAGAGGTCAACATAAAATTTCCTTTGAAAGTCGAAGAAAGTATAGCAACCGGCTTCTGAGAGGATCATTAATAGATTTGTCATTTCTCCAAACTTTCTGAGATTTCCAAACAGAACTCAATTTTGCATGAATTCGCATTCAGCATTCAAGTTGCTTAGAGGGAAATCAAACAGTTCGAATCTACGCAAAGACGCTTGGTTTCTCATGATCAAACTGAGATTTTGTCATGAACAACTGAAGTCAAATAGACGAGGTCGTACTGTAACAGATCCATGCATTCATTTTCAAACGCGAAATAGTTGGGAGATGAAGATGATACAGTACAAGGAAATACAGCCCAATAATCCGGATACGGGAGTTACGGATAACCGCGTCGACCATTTGCCAAAACTGATTTATTTTTACACCGGAATTGATAATCGATCTCAGACTCACTTCCTTTCACTCCTTCATTGAATTGGCTCTTGATCAAGGCAGTTTTACCAGTATAGCTCGGTTCAGCAGCAACCTTCGCACAAATCTTGCGGAATTCCCGAAAGCTATCACATTCGTCATCCTTAGGTCTCCGTGCGTGGGATTCAGATGATCCTCCTCGACTACCTGAAGTCAAGAGAACCACCACAAATGCATCATTCTTTCTCTATCTGAACAAAACAAAATATATTGAGAAAATATTTACTCGATTCCAAAGGTTGCGCTGGAACTGGATTCGGTTGATTTGATGCATCCTTGTTGACAACCTTCCGTGTTGGGGTTTTCTCCGGAGATTTCTTCGGCACTGGGGCTCCACGCCCACCAGGGGAGCCTGTACAGTACATGAAAAGCATCCGATGAATATAAAAAAGCCGTAAACATTCAATAAACCATAAAAACTCATGCTCAAATCTAATCAATCGAAGTACAGGGTCGAATTGCCATCTAATTCTCCAATGTGTCATAAAAAAGATAATCTCGGAGAACTTCCGCTCGTTAATATTGAAATGTGGTTCGGTCTCAAAGCTATAATACAGAACTTACCTGCAAAAACATACATCCTTTCTAAAATTGAATGGACTGCGTGGATTCATCTCATTCATCAATGAAACGCAGCATAAAAATATTTTGAACCCAGTACACAGGGGGAAAAATATCTATTGATAGGCACAGCGAGCAGATCCCAACTGTTGACACGCATCCGGCAGTTTTCATCGAGCAGTAGGTAATATGAAATAAATGCAATTTGCAAAAATACTAGAATACTTCTTTAATTATTGCACGCAAATGCAATGCCACAAGATTTCGACAATTTTTAGAGAAACAACAGTCGATAATTTTCCGACACCAACGACGGATGGGTGATTTCTACAACCGAAAGAACTCATACAAAGTTGCCATGTCGCTCTACAGACTCCATACAAAAAAATTTGTGTTAAATTTGGGCTTGAAACTTTTGACTTCCCACAACGGATAAACATGGTCGATATCTTCCGAAACATCATTTCTTGCAACATTCGATGATGCTTGAAAGTTCTTTTGGATTCGCTTTGCTCTCCCCGAAGCGAGGAACAAACCCGCTTTGCCGCACGAGAACCCGCTCAAAAAACACACCCAAGTCCACATCGTCCCGAACGACGAAGTTAATCAGCTTGGGAGAAATTTTCGAATGCACCTGCCCATGGTCCTTAGTCTTCATTTGAAGAACGCGATCGCATTTCTGCAAAACCTCTCGAGTGAGAAACTGCGCTATCGCTGTGCAGAAAATAGAAGCCTCTTTCGTAACGCGGCATCGTTTCCCGGCATGAAGCGCTCGTAACAAATCCCGTCGGACTCTAGTGTACGGGAACATCAAGCCACTGTTGCGAGCCTTTTGAACGCGCAACTTGCTTTTGCCGACTCTGAGAAATGAATCGAACACAGATAAATGGTGATCCACACGCAATTTCGAATTATTTGGCGAACTAAACACAAACAAGAGATCTATGATGATCAACTGGTTGTAAAAAGAAACGCATCATCTGCGACATGGTCTGTATTTAACGCGCGTGGAAAATAAATCCATCCAAAATTCTCGGAAAATTAAAATATTTCTGTGCACTTCCTCGAAGAGTTTTAGGCTTTACTTGAACAATCTTCGCCTAGAAAGACTACAAATGAAGTCATCATCCAGTTATCCATAAATGCGATCATTATAATTAGCCGTAGTCCCGATTAGATCGTATCATCAGTTATGTCGTAATAATGAACTACTGCACTAAGGAGGGACAACGTTGAAGAAGGGGAAAGCACTGAAATCATCGCGTCAATTGTTCGGCACTCTAGGACGGGAAATAAAGGCCATGAATGTATTCAAGTATCCTAGAGTAAGCCAAATAGTATTAATCTGACCGACAGTGCACATAAAAAACCCGCTTTCCCATTAGAAGTAAATTTTTCTCACTGAACTCTCTGATTTCAACAATGATCATTTCCCTCGCGGAACAAAGAATTTCCTCCAATCTCTCACTCGACAGCCATGAGCCTTAGTCCTGAAACAAGACGAGCTTCTCTTTTCTCTTCCAGGTGTTCAACACTTGTTCTTGTCATTTCAAATTGCCCCGCCCTCATTCCTCCGACACAAATTCCAATATTATTCACGAATATAAATCCCGAATATACGGTACTCAATTTAATGCAAATGTAGTAGGCGCGTGAATCAACCGGTACAAATAAAGCCAAAAAACCAATGAGCAGCGACGAGTTTCGCAAGGAACTCACGGGTGCATTGATGGTTGGTTTTCAGTCATTGTCGAATGGCAGTTTCAACGGAATAATTCGTGATTATTTAAAACCGTCTCTACATAATGAAACATCAAACAAATTCACCGAAACCATTTTCATAAAAATTTGAACAAATTCTGATTGCGAATTATACAGAAAAACCCCCACGACATCTGAAGCGCGGTTTCATTACGATGAAATTGCTTCTTTCACTACTCGGGGAGACTCAAGACTGATGCCGAAATTGAAACACGTACTTCCTAAAAACCTTCAACGTTTACCGTACGCATATTTGAAAGTCTCTTACCATACTACCATCCTCATTTCACATCCGGAAATTGATAAGCATCTTACTTCGCCAAGTGGAAGCTTCCGAACGTTGATCCAGGAAATGACAAAAACATTCTACACAAACTTGAATGCATGGAAAAGAATCCAACACTACGGAGGAAAATATTTGAAAATTCTAAACTTCACGATCACTCATACGCTAAATGAATGAAAACGTTGAATGATGAAATATAAATACAGTACCCCGAAAGTGATTACGAAATGCGCTTAAGTACCACCGAAGTCCGTTATCTTGTCATAAAACACAAAAACTCGCATTTTCTCTTGCTCTCGTCAGCGTCAGAAAAGTGGAATTTAAAGCTAATAACTTCGGCACTGTATCATAGACTTTATTTTTATTTTCTGAGCCAGCCGGATGGATTTTCCCAGAACCGAAAGCATGTTCGTGATAGACACTAAATTAAGGTAGCTCCACCTTCCGCACAGGTGCGGAAGTACTTGAAACTGCGCACATACTCATGAAACGACTCTCCCGACAGTCATCAACAGTCGACTACTGTACTCTATTTCCATAAACTTCGCAGAATTGCAATCGTGAACAGTTGAAAGTGCAGACACCATTTCATGGAATTGATCCTTGAAGCCCGTTCGATTTATTTCACAATTCAAAGATAATCAGCAGCATTTTCCTCCCCATGAAAGTGTTCTCAACCACTTAGGTTCGACTCATGCTCGAGATTATTTGTCTAATAGCATCTGCAATTAAAGAACTGTAAAGCCGTGTAAATCTCTAGATCTACAACAAATGATTGCATTTGCTTCTGGTCGTTCAACTGTCACATGTTCTCATCAAGCGTGGAACAAAAATTGAGTCCATTAATCTCTACTTCTTGATTATTTTTCCTGGGAAGTTTTAGAGGTTTTGCTTGTTAGCAGACCATAAACATATCTGCTGTGCATAGATGAATAATTTAATATATTTTAAGTACTGTAGTTGTGCAATTTTCTTCCAATTTTTTGCTCAACCTTATTTTTCAACACAACCAAAAAGGCCGATTTTGGGAGAGTGTTCAGCTGTTCTTCGACAGCTGCGATAAAATCATCTCAAATTGCAAAATTTTGGTTTCACGAAGATTTTTTTTAGCTCTGAGGAGCGAAAAAAAAAACTACACAACCCCAAAGATTTTCTTTCTATTTAGAGAAGTAGAGTACAGTAACACGGGCACCTTTTTCCTCAAAATTGAGAGAAAAAGGGGTTATGCGTCATAAACGGGCATACATTATAAAAACGTTTTAGAAGTTCTGGTGCACATTATATTTGATTCTAGTTTGGAATTTAGCTTCAATTTTTGGAGAAAAACTTAGAGCAACGGAAAAAATTGAAAAATTAGCTGAATTCAGGTTCAATTCATGTCGGGATTTAATTATTTACATTGCAGTTTCAAAGAAACTAAAATGGAGTGCGCGTATTAAATGGTGATACAATTTTATAAAAATTTTGACTGAAAACCCCTGGTGTGCGTCTTATACTCGAAGAAACGTGGTATTTGAGTAAATACGGTGGTTTTGGTAAGCTACTATAGGCTAAATAAAAATTCCGCGAGGAACCCCGACAAACATCGTAGGTTCTACGGTAGCACAGATGCAATTTTTAGATTTCCAAAGGATTTCTTTTCTATTCCCACGGATCCCACGGGGTGTTCACGAGAAACCCTCTCTTCTTCTTCTTCTTCTTCAGCGACGGTCACGAAAACCCGTCTCCGCATACTGACTTCCAGCCATCTCATCTCTCGTCACACTAATCCTCATCATCAAATGACTTTCGACGACTGAAGATGTCTCCTCTTCGCAAAAGAAAAAGGTACTTGGACCATCTCTTCTTCGAGTTCCTCCTCCGACGAGAGACCACACACGTTCGCAATTACTCGGTTAATGTCAAGGTCCGGATGATGCACAAGCAGCGTTCAACGTCCCTCGACGCAAGGGAACGTGCGCGCAGAAAATAACTCGGCGGCGAGATAAATTTCTTCCTCTCGATTTTCGACGGGGATCAGGTCGGAGAAAAACACGCGTCTCGGGTGCAGTTCGAAACGGGCGTAAAGACTAGTCGAAATAAGACTCGCGTATGCGTCGAATGCGTCCTCCGAGTGTTGTCACAACGTGCTGGAATCGTTTGGCCAAGTCACGACTCTCACGAGCTACTTTCTTCTGCCATGAATACACTGCCCAATTTTGGCACAAATAATCCGCCAAAAATTTCAAACGGAACAAACAAAATACTGTATAGTTGATTAGCGACAAAATGGAAATTATCTACCCTTTTCTTGGAGGAAAAAAAACAGGCCTCATTTTCTATTAAAAAAAAAAACTATACGGCTATACCTACACAGATACAGTATCAGCTATAATCACGGTATCTTTTACATTGAAATTAAGCTTTTGGACACAGAAGAGCACTTCATACATTAATGATACGTTTTTCGTAAGAATCTCATAAAAATGTAGCCAATGAAAAAATTGACCCGAAGAAACATTTGTTGTATGTACCTTTCCTTCAACTAAAATTCTTTGGATTATAAAATAACCTCATCCATGAATATCTGCATGTACTTGACAACAACCTTCGTTGAAAGCGAAAGTTCGTCATTAGAATAATAATTACAACGTGATTCTTTCGGGACTCCTGATGATTCGTCAGAACACATTGAAGCCATTCTCTCTTTGAAAATCACAAAAATAGGACGTCCAGTGATTACTGTACATAGAAATTTTCAATTTTTGAAGGAAAATGAACATTTACGGCATATTTACCTTTTTCTTCATTAAATTACCTTCGAACTAAGATCGTGTACGCTGTAAGGGATGGGAATCACAAATATAGAATCCAAATATCCACAGATTTCAACGTACAGTATTTTTCAAGCAGGAAATTCAGAAGCCTAAAAATGCCGTGAATTGAGAAATTCGTTATTGTATCTAAGGAGAAGATTTTCAAGTCCTTACAAATTTGCATCAGTTTCCTACTATTCAACGTAGGATCCATCGAAAGACTTGAAGAAAGTCAATCAACCTTCACGGGATCTCTTCTAAGTGTCACACACGATCAAAATTGCCATTGTGAAATTAATTTTTCACCTGAACACGGTCTTTACTCTCAAAAATGCTGTGCCACCCTCAAATTCGTCAATTCTTGAACCTGCCGAGCTATCAATTGTAAGGTACAGTACAGTACAGTACTGTACATTTGAAATAATTTATATTCTGTTCTGGACTTCTCCTGGTTGGAGAGGATTTTATCATTAACGGTGGTGCCCAAATATGGAAATGAGGCTTTTTCTTGCACGTCAACATTACCTTAATTCGGATTCATTCAAGAAGTGAAAACATCCCTTGACCTCGACTACATGATTTGAACCAGTGAACCATTTTTTTTTTCAAATAGCATGCGATGAATATTTCCGTCTCATGTTCACCACATGCATCGTAAATGAGGTTTCATTTTGCGCGCGGAAATGGCATACAATTACAGCTCTAATTCCTCCTCAGATCTTTTCCCACGTGAGCCAACTTGAAGCACACTAAAAGGCCCGAGGAAAATGAATGCATTCGGGACGTTCGACGAAAAACGTGAAAGACACGCTTCGTGACTTTTCGTATAAAGAAATGCCAATGGTGTCGGATGTCGTTTCAAAGGTGCTGCATAATGAACAGGAGACTCTTCAAAACGACAGGAACAGAGCTTCGAGAACAAGTATGTTTCTCAGGACTTCATCAGAAAATACAGCCTTTTTTCCCTCGTAAACTCTGCTGGCCAGTTTTTTCCAAGCTAGATCCGAGGAAAGTTAGATTTCAGCACGCAGTTCAGACTTTCTTTGAAATTCATCAATCGTCTGAAAATTGAACAACTCTTTCGAATTCTCCTTGATTTTCCCGATTTTCCTACAATCTGGAGGCACTTCTCGGATCCACGTATTTTCGAATGGAAATATAGCACTGTACTGAATTACAACATTGTCATTTCTGGACCTACGTGATTATTCGAAAGCTTGTCATGGTTCAGAAAATTTACTGGGGACGGTTTGGGTTCATTTTTGAGACGCTTGGTTGCACTGTGACCTTGCAAGCAAACTTGAAAGACCATACACTTTAGGATTCCGCGTGTCTGGAAAGGGTAAAAGGTGCTGATTATGTTCCCCTTCATACATTCATTGTAGCAAAAGTAAAATGGGCGGAAAATTGAAGTGGAAAGTAACTTGAGGATTATGTGATCAGCTGAAGAGTCATACTTTTGCTTCAATGTTAAGGAGGAAAATGGACGGAGATCCGAAATAATAGAACCATTGATGACCCATGAAATAAGGGAATCAACCATCGGTCAGCATTTGAATAAAAATAATTATACTTTCCGGGGCATCCGGTCTGGTCTATATCCATTACAGACGACTGACAATTCAACTATCGTCCTGAGGTTGTTTTATGACACCGTGTCTCATTTTTTCGACATGAAGCGCCCTCTTCACAGTCAATTTATTCAGCGGAGATTTAGAAAAAAAAACTTCTACAGCTTGGCTTTTCAGAAAAATCATGGTCCCGTATTCTCGGCTTTTACCTGAAGAGCTAAAAATATAGCATTTCTCGCGTATTCTTTATAGGACCTACTTCGTGATACTAAATTTATACTCGAAGTCTTTTTCGCTGATTTCAAGAAGCCCAAGGGAAGCAAAGGTCGAGAAAGTCGGCTCCAGGCAAAGGAAGTGAACGTTCACAAGAAAAAGCGAGACTTACGGTCAATGAGTTCGTTCAACGAGTCACGGTCCTCGGATTTCAAAGCATCCACCCCGTCGACATCCTCATTCAGATCCCGAATCCTCGCGGTAGTCGCCCTCTGCTTCAAGAATGCTTCAAAAATGCACTGGGGATGAAACCACTGCTTCATCAGTCCCTCCGAAAAGGGATTCGGAGCCAGTTTCCCGATCCTCATCGCCCCCTTGTCAATTTTCTGCTTGCACTTCTTGCAACCGGCTCGTCCGGAATTTGCGTACTCGACGCAAAACGGTTTTTGAGACTCGCCTTCTGCGTCGGACATGACGAGGATTTTTCCCGAATGCAACTGGGGTAAACGAAAGGTTGCTGGAAATGGTTGCCGAAAGGGTGACGACGACAGGAAGAAGGTCAGAAAGTTCTCAGGGTCTCGGAGCAATTGATGTCTCGACAACTTGATAGCGCATCGCGAGGCGTTTCCCATTCAACTTATCCCGGCACATTGTTCACGTGCTTTGATCGCACAATCTGAAACAGTGAACATTGCAACTCAAGTCATTTTCTGCAGGGGGGACATTATTCAGAATGCAATCGTGTTCTGCATAGCTCATGGATATACGAAGAGCTTTGCGCGCGCAGTTCGACGGTAACGTTCGTTCCAAGACGTTCTCAATCTCAATAGAAGGATTTGCATTACAATGTTTTCCTCATCATACTCTTCAGTGATTTGAAACGCATTTTTTGAGGTCCGCCGATGCAAGAATTAAACCCTTCTACAAATATTGAGCCTCAGTTTCTCTTTCAAATTTTAATCACCACTTCAGAATATTCAAAACGTGAATTTTAGGGACGTCATTGTAAGTCGGAAGCAGTAGCACTGAGACCATTCAGGAAATTTCAAAAAAGTAGCTTCTGCATCGAAATTTCACATCGGTGGATAGCGTCGAAACAATCGAAACTTCTTCTTTTCTACCATCCATCGAAATCAAATCTTCGAGGGGAAAAAACTTGGAAGACAGGGAATCATCCTGATAACTCTTCGGAATGCTCTGACCTCGACAAAAAATTGATGCCGTTTTTCAAGTCGGATTTGATTCATGTACCACTCTGAAGACTCTTCTCCTAGCCAATTATAATTCCTCGTTCAGAAATACACTGTGTGTCAAACAAGAAGTTACAGACTTCGACCGACATATAGTCAATCAACAGCGGATACAAGAATAATGTGCTGTACTTGAGAGTCTGTTCAAGACGGGATCAAGCTTCACGGCTGCTAAATTATACGAGCACATTTACTTAAATAAAATAGCTTCAGCTCTCATTCATCGGATCACCGCCTAAAAGGTGGCTGAGCTGCACAAAGCGGGACAAATACGAGGAAAGAAAAAGAGAATAGATGATTCCCTCAGGGACGCTGTTTCTCTCTGCTTTCTCGACACACTAACAAATCATCCCCTTCAAGAAACACGACGGATTCTTCGTTGACACGAATCCGGCTCAAGCTTCAATTATTAAATGAAGGCCAACATGGAAAGAAAATTCGTCAGTCGGAAACCGGTGTAGTCGAGAAGGGCCAGCTTCCGACGCCACGTACGTCAGCAAGGCGCGAATGCTGAATCCCCTATTTTTTTCATCTATCTCTCTCTCTCTCTGTGGCAGACTAAAAGGGAACTTTTTTCCCCCTCTTCTTCTTCCTTCCCTGACGTTGCAGTCGGGGGGATGCAACTCTTGGGAAATCCTACTCCTTCTTTGCATCACACCGACGTGATATAAAACCCGAGCCCGAAAGTGGCGACTACTTCAGTTGCTCTTCACTACCTGGCGTTCACGTCTCCTCGCTCCTCGAACCCATACAAAAGACGATCATTGCATGAGCTACAAATTCTAGATCAGCCCATTTCATGGATAGATCAGTCCAATTCATTCTCTATACATAGTGTAAAGAAATTGAATTTTTTTAAATGAATCTTTTTTACTTGTGCACGACATGCACCTATTGCACCTTCAAATGTGAAAAGAATTAATCCAAAATTGCCACATGTGTTCAACATTCTAAGGACATTTCGAGTGATTTTTCCGCGTAAAAATTGCGCAACGCGCCTCTTACGCTTTGAATCTCATCGCAAAAACAGCATCACGAAAATTTCGAATTATAGAATTAGCGCATTCATAGAAACTAGAACACTTGACTCGGAAAATTCCATTTTTTCTTTCGACAAGGCTTACCCGTTTTCTTAAAATTTTAAAAGAAAAAACTGGATACGCATCATACACGTGAATATAGTTTTTCACGGGTTTCTCGAAAAATGCAAGATTTTTCAATTATTCAAACGTAGCGTTTCAAGTCAAACCCGCTTTTCCAATATATCGCAATACAATCCAACAATATCCTAAAACAAAATTTAAATTACAGTACAATATATATTTGGCGTTTTCAAGGAAAACAGACGATTGGAAAACTACCAAGGTTACTAGAGCATTACGCTTCACTCTTTCGCCAAAATTTGCCAAGAACAGAATGCTTATCTTAGGCGAATATGAAAAACATTTCCATGATTCTCTCATATTTCGAAGAAATTTCCAGCAATCTTAAGTTTAAAAAAAAAATTGCCGCGCGTTTGATACAAGTACAGTGACTTAAAATTACCGTGCTTTGTCGAATTCAACTAAATTTGATTTGAGAATAGCGTGACAAAGTGAAATATGTATGTCCACTAATTTACTTCCAGATCCGCTCGACTCCCGGATCTACGAAACACAAGAGAAGCTCACTGTCCACCCCGAACAGGTAATCAGAAAATAAATATTTATATATTTTACTGTTTATCCTGGCATTACTTCCCTTAAATTTGGAGAAAGTCGCAAAAAAAAGTAAAACCCTCCTTCTTCAACAGACTACCGAATGTTTCTCTACAATGACATGATGCTGATGAACACGTGGTGGAAAGGCAGGGCGACGATCGCCGTCATGCTCGTCGCTTCGCTGATTTCAATGATTGACGCCAGTGCACAAACCAACGTTGAGCCCGGGAACCCTAACCCTCGGAACAGCAAATTATTTCCCGAAATCACCGGCGATTTCGAACAACTGGAGCCACTCCATTTACTGCGTCGCTACCAGAGGTCACAGCAACAGGATATTGCCGACTACCCTCAGCCAACCATCTACGAGGTTTGAGAAATAACTTGTAGATTGTGTAGTAAAATATTATTCAAATTTCGAAATTCCAAAGTCTTCTGAATTTCTCGCGACTATTAATACTCGCATTCAAAATAATAATAATTCACAACTTGATTTCCTACCTTCGACGCGACGATTCCTTCAACTTGAATATTTTCTACTCCTGAACAACCTAATCACAATCAAAAAATTATAATCATCTTATGTGCAAGTAACTATGGATATGAAAAATAAAATGCAGGTTTACAAATGTATTCACAACAATCCAGATAATACGCATTATAAATTGAATAAAATGAATGTTTTGAAATCAATACAACGGCTTTACTTCAACGTATCGAAAATAAAAATGTAGGATTAAGTTTTACTAGATACTGTAAATAAAAAGTGAATGGTGAAGGAAGGGCACTAGCCTTGATACAAGGTATTTAATCATAAAAATGCAATAACTCACAAAGATGAACTCAAAACTTGTATTTGATGAGAGAAACTTCACAGAACAGGTCATAATTCTCATTTCAGTCGCTTCATAATCAACAATATTTGAAACTTTATGCATTGACTCTATTTGGTGTTACGAACAATTTCAACGATAAGGTAAAATAATCAAACGGAAGTCAAGGCTGGAAGTGAAAAAAAGCGACGGGTAATGTCAGAAATTCGTCTAATGAACATTTCACGGACAGCTTTTCCAATACTCTAAAGAATTACTAAATCAATCTCAATCATCCCTTAAATCCGGAAAAGAATAAAAGTTTCAGTTCGACGTTGATTTGTATTCTCAAATTAAGACAGCGTTTTGACTACGTAAGCCACAGCGATTTCGCATCGGGAAATTGAAAACAATTCTTGGAATAATAGGGCGTTTTCTCAATATTTAAACACGGAACCAGATTCAGGCGGCAACTTATCCGAGAGACGGTGGACTTTTCGGATTCAACTTCAACCGGCGCAAGATCCAACAGAACAACCAAAAGCTAGAGATGAGGCAGAGACACTTGGCCAAATTGGAGGCGTCCAACTTGCGCAAAAACCCCGCCAAGTTCAAGGCAAAGCTCGGAGCGTTCCTGAACCAGATTCAAAATTTGGCCGCATCCAAGCCGCGACTGTGGAAAGAAATTGAGGCGATGAACGCGGCTCGAAGCGCCGCAACTTCAGCAGCGTCGAACACAGGCGGAGATGTCGAGAATCAAGAAAATTCCGCCGACGACACCGCGGCGACGTCGCTTATGACGCCCGACGGGAAAATCGACAGCGAGAGAAGCGAAGAAAGCGGAACGGACAACGACGGTTCCGAACTGAGACGAAGTAAATCCTTTGCTTTCTTTGACACGTACAAATAAGAAAACCGTAAAGGTTCGACGACTATAAATGGACACTGCCGTGCAACATTTTTTTTTTTCGGAGTAGAAACTAAAGAATTTATCTAAAAATTAATTTTTTCACAAAAAATTCAGCAATTTCCCGGCGGTTGAGTGCAAAGAAAAAAAACGGATCATAAGAAAAGTATGAAACCAACAAAATTAAGAACCTATATTCAAGCAGCAAAAAAAAATGAATATTTCAAGCTTGAAAAATTGAACGCAAGAACACAAGAAAAAATTCCTCGACTGAGACTGCAAGAATTTTTTTTTCTACTCATTCAGACATTTAAAAAAGTGAAATCTTAATCAGAAACCATCCTTTTCCAGCGAACGATTCAACCTCAGACACATATGAACACAGAAGTGTAATTTCGACCATAACTTTTTATAGCATAAATTAACAAGATGAAGAAAAGAAACGTTTGAGAACCTTGAAATGATCGTGAGGGAATCCCTAGAGTTGAGCATACACGTCCAAGACGATAAGACACTGACACACTCGTCTTCAACTTTATTTTTCAAAGTTATAGCAATCGCAGGTATTTTTCAGGACAGGTGAAGAATTTATTTCAATTGTATCCACATCTTATTCATCCGCCCGAAACGATTCCATTTTTGTATAACTCTGCGTTAGGTTATTCCGCAGAAATCAAACACATTCAATTGACGCAAGCATGACGGCAGTCAAAAATGTTCCGAAATTAAAAAAAGACAAGAATAGCAAGGATTGATAGACTTCGCACACGGAAAACCCGATATTCGAGAGAAGGACCAAATGTGAAATCAGGACACTTTTACGAGAAGCCCGATACACAAAAAATGAGTTCATCTACGAATAACGTGACGGTGATGGGCCCGAAACAGCATGGGAGCTGTCGGGCTCTTGGCAACCAAACATGAAACTATTCCCATAGAAACAGAGAAGCTTAGCAACGAGTACACTATATTCGTTGCTCGCGAAAAGTCTTCCCGAACGAACACTCAATGTCCGTAGCTGTAGGGTGATCCATAATCATTCGACAAAAATAAAATGCACGATTATTCCCGATTGAAATTTGCAGGTTTATGCCACTTTAAGCTGTGTCCCCTGTGGAGGAAACCATGGCAAGACAACTGAAGAATCTCGCAGACGCTGTCAGAAAAGCACTTGGCCAAGCCTTCAAAGCCCTCGAACTATAACGCGACCCTTTTACGCCTCAAAATTAATTCAATATCGCCTAGAAACCCATTCTTGAGAGGGCATCATCAATTGCTATATCGAGAAGAAAAAGATCTCAGCCAACAGGATTTAGCGATCTCGAAAACCCGTGGACAGTGCGCCAGGATTCACGCGCATTCAAATCGGAGTGACGATGCCTACAACACATTCCTGTGACTTCGGATTTTTCTTTTCAACAACCAAAATGTCAGTTCAACTCTTATGAAGAATAAAGAGAGCGTGTGGAGAAAAAAAAAATCTGCGTATTTTCAATTCTCTTCATGAATTTGGCAAACATGATGTAGCATCAACCGGACCAAGATTCACCGACAGGCGTCAAAATTACAGGTATTGTCAATTTGTTACACACTATCACTGTGCAACTGTTCGTGAGATTGCCTTTGAGTTCAATAAACAGTTGAACCATGATAACTGGTACCTTCCAAAGCCAAATACAGTGAGACCCCAAGATGCAGATGTAATTGGTGCATCAGGAGTGTCCTGATGTCAGAATGTCCTTGAGTCAAGTCTCATTTTCCCTCAGACTTCAATGCTGATGTATTTAATTGGTTCTCCTTTTTGTCAAAAATGAGAGAGAAGTCCTCATAGAGAATGTTTCCTTCAACTTAAAGTTTGTAAAACACAACAGTGCAGAACAAAACCGAATAGAATCAGATCTTTTGGTATCAAAAGGAGATCAAAAATAAAATAAAAGGAATAAGTTTTGCTAGAATATGCACAGATGATGAAAAAAAACTCAGAGAAAAGAAGCACAAAAACAACTTGCTTTTGATTATTAATTAGGGTGAATTTATGATGAAATATTTTTTCAATTTTTGTGAATATAAATATTGTGGCTTGATATCTTCAAAAGATGCAGTATAAAAATTAAAAAGAAAATGTTTCAATTTTTCAGGAAATTTTCAGCAAAGTGTCCCTAACTCAAGCCAAAATCCAGATGTTGGGCCTGATTTCTTTGGTTTTCAAGTGTCCTCAAGTCAAATTGTGTGTATGTTGGGGTGTCGGCAAATTGGGGTCTCACTGTACAATATCTCCCTATGCCAAATTTTTTATAGTCTGTCTCGGAAAAAACAAATTACAGTAAAAACCTCCATAACTCTGAAAGTTCTGGAAGTGAAAGATTAATTGGGCAAACAAACTTTCAAACTTGAAAGCATGTAATAAGTCCAGCATCCTGTCAATTTATTAAAAAATGACAACTCAAGGCCTAGAATATCATGTCTTGTAATTCTTCTATCTTTCTTCAACAAAAATGCGTTTCTCCTAACTTGAAACCTGCCAAACTCTGATTCTCTCACTTGTCTTTAGAAATGTGACTTGAAGTCAAATTTCTATTGACTCTCATTTTAATCCAGTTGAACCTCCTTAAGTCAAATACCTCCCTAAGTCACATTTTTTCAAGTCCCCATCTGACTTCCCTTAGAAAGACGGCATTAAAAATATCCATAACTGAAAGGTTTTTCCTGCAAAACTTCTCTTAGTCAAATTTTTTGAGGCTTTTTGGCTATTATTCTATTGTAACAGGAAAGAAAAAACATCAAAAAAGGAAATTTGATGTGCTTTGAAAGGATGTGACAGACAAAATTGGGCAAGAAACCCCTTGTTTCCAAGTTCAGCACCCTTTCAACTCATTATAGAAGCAATTTCAGGCCCAGAATATCACCATGTACAATTTAGTGCAATTCTTCAAAGTTCCCCACAATAGAAATGCTTGATCCCATGAGTCAAACATCTATAGTATATAAATCAAACCCCTAAAAGTTGAATTTTTTGCTGCTCCCTTGAAATTTGGCTTGGAGAGGTTCAACTGTAATTGTCTCACCCCTTGAAGTATCAGCTGATCCCAAAGGATTGTAAAAGTTTTGTTAATTACCAAGAACCAATGTGCCTAGCCTGACAAACGGAACTTAGTGCCTGATTCAAACAACGTAATTAACAAAAGATGCAACTGAAGTTTGACACCGAAAAATAAATACTGTACAGAATATTAAACGCGATATATCAATTTGAGGTAGGTGAGGCAATGTATTGACCACTATCACGAGGATGCGAAGTACTATGGAAGTAGAGAAAAACCCACCAACTTATTCTATTTTCCATCACTTCTTACCATGTTTTAACCTCACAAATTCATTATCAACTTTACATGATGATCAAGTACGGTCAGCCAGGTACAATAAAATGTTTCATTTTCGGATCAGTCACATACGCCGAATTCTGTTCATGAACAGAAACAGAAGGTTCGAAGAAAAAGAAGCGAAGGCAAGGCTATCAAAACGTTTTTAATCCGCGAGCTGATTAATATANGTGAGATTGCCTTTGACTTCAATAAACAGTTGAACCATGATAACTGGTACCTTCCAAAGCCAAATACAGTGAGACCCCAAGATGCAGATGTAATTGGTGCATCAGGAGTGTCCTGATGTCAGAATGTCCTTGAGTCAAGTCTCATTTTGCCTCAGACTTTAATGCTAATGTATTTAATTGGTTCTCCTTCTTGCCAAAAATGAGAAATAAGTCCTCAAAAAATTTAATAAAGAATGTTTCCCTCAACTTCAAGTTTGTAAAAAACAACAGTGCAGAACAAAACCAAATAGAATCTGATCTTTTGGTATCAAAAGGAGATCAGAAAGAAAAGAGAAAGAATGAGTCTTGCTAGAATATGCAGAGATGATTAAAAAATAACTCAGAGAAAAGAAGCACAAAATCAGCTTGCTTTTGATTATTAATTAGGGTGAATTTATGCTGAAATATTTTTAAAATTTTTGTGAATATAAATATTGTAGCTTGATTTCTTCAAAAGATAAAGCATAAAAATTAAAAAAGAAAATATTTCAATTTTTCAGGAAATTTTCAGAAAAGTGTCCCTAACTAAAGCCAATTTCCAGATGTTGGGCCTGATTTCTTTGGTTTTCAAGTGTCCCAAAGTCAAATTGTATGTATGTTGGGGTGACTGCAAATTGGGGTCTCACTGTACAATATCTCCCTATGCCAAATTTGTTCTAGTCTGTGTCTCGGAAAGAACAAATTACAGTAAAAACCTCCATAACTCAGAAAATTCTGGAAGTGAAAGATTAATTGAGCGAACAAACTTTCAAACTTCAAAGCATGTAATAAGTCCAGCATCCTGTCAATTTATTTTAAAAAAACACACAATTCAAGGCCTAGAATATCATGTCTTGTAATTCTTCTATCTTTCTTCAACAAAAATGCGTTTCTCTTAACTTGAAACCTGCCAAACTCTGATTCTCTCACTTGTCTTTAGAAATTTGACTTGAAGTCAAATTTCTATTGACTCTCATTTTAATCCAGTTGAACCTCCTCAAGTCAAATACCTCCCTAAGTCAAATGTTTTCAAGTCCCCATCTGACTTCCCTTAGAAAGAAAGCATTAAAAATATCCCTAACTGGAAGGTTTTCCTCTAAAACCTCTCTTAGTCAAATTTTTTGAGGCTTTTTGGCTATTGTTCTATTGTAACAGGAAAGAAAAAAACCATCAAAAAACGGAATTTGATGTGCTTTGAAAGGATGTGACAGACTAAATTGGGCAAGAAAACCCTTGTTTCCAAGTTCAGCACCCTTTCAACTCATTTTAGAAGCAATTTCAGGCCCAGAATATCACCATGTACAATTTAGTGCAATTCTTCAAAGTTCCCCACAATAGAAATGCTTGATCCCATGAGTCAAACATCTGTAGTATACAAATCAAACCCCTAAAAGTTGAATTTTTTGCTGCTCCCTTGAAATTTGGCTTAGAGAGGTTCAACTGTAATTGTGAGTGGGGAACTTCATAGTCGACTAGGGTTTCCTAACATTTTCAAAACAATTAATGGTTCTTGGTTACACGGATCGGACTGTTTGCCTTGAATCACGGACTAAGTTTGTTGCATTAATTGTTTTCTACCAACTGAAGTTTGACACCGAAAAATAAATACAGTACTGTACAGAATATTAAACGCGATATATCAATTTGAGGTAGGTGAGGCAATGTATTGACCACTATCACGAGGATGCGAAGTACTATGGAAGTAGAGAAAAACCCACCAACTTATTCTATTTTCCATCACTTCTTACCATGTTTTAACCTCACAAATTCATTATCAACTTTACATGATGATCAAGTACGGTCAGCCAGGTACAATAAAATGTTTCATTTTCGGATCAGTCACATACGCCGAATTCTGTTCATGAACAGAAAAAGAAGGTTCGAAGAAAAAGAAGCGAAGGCAAGGCTATCAAAACGTTTTTAATCCGCGAGCTGATTAATATAACAATATTCACATGATGCACAAATATGGCAGCACAGTGTCGCAAATGCCTTCAGGAAACGAACACACGTTTTTGAACTGAAAGTAGTGTACAATAAACGAAATCAACGCGTGCTTTCAACATAAGCAATGGGCAAATTCCGCATTTTCTTTGGTATGGCACGTTCACTAAATTAGTGGGGCATGAATAGTTAGAAAACGTAAAAAGCGAAAGGTGGAATGAATACGCGACGTCCATTCGAAAAAAAAAAGTCAGTCAAGCAGAACAGTATAAGAACACGAATTCACGCGAACAGGTCTTCTTCGTATTCCAACAGTTGACGAATGAAGCCGTCGTTCGGACGAATGCACGGACGCAAGGACTTCAAATAATCGTGAGCACTGCGGTACGTCATTCCCTCGGATTTCATCAGATACGCAATTACTACCGCCGCCGAACGCGATACCCCAGCATTGCAATGCACCAAACAACAGCCGCCCTTTTCCCGAGCCCCATCAATGAAGCTGAAACAGTAGGGTAGTAATCCGATAAGTGGCGTCTCAGGAATATCGAGCATTTCCACGGTTCTTTGCACGATTTTCTCGCGAAATTCTGGTTCGTCCTGATCGGTCATGGCGTGAGATCCAACGTCAAGTATGTGGCTCACTGCGAATCGTCGCAATACGCGTTCCTCAAAAGCCGCGTTTTGGGATCCTGGCGATAAAATGAAGCAAAACGTTATCTTAAGGAAAGCATTAGTATTAATACTTTTCAAAAAAAGTAAATTAATTTTCCCAGCCGAAAAAAACACGACACTCAACTCAGGGCTTATAGAGAACTATTTCGCCTCCAAAATAGCCGGAAGTCATTTCAGGGAAACAACTAAAAAACGACATAAAGCACCACATTTCTTCATTAATAAAACAACTTTAACGTGGTTCTAGATTTGCAGGTGAAGGACATGATTGCTTTTGACACAAGCGCGATCTTTTGAATGACTAATTAGGTACCAAACAAGGCATACGAAAAACCATTTTCAGATTCGAATTCTTCCTTGAAGAGACATGAAAACCGGGAGAATCTCATTGCTCATGAAACATAGATCAATTGAATTACAAGCAGAGGTATTCCTTAGTGGGACGATAAGGATTTTAAATGCGGATGACTGAATTGAAAAATAGGACGTCAGATTAGCACGAATTCGGTCGAGATCAAGCCAGCAATTGAGTTCCTTTCCTTTCCAAACCAATCGTTCAGGGTGAATTTTCATAAGATTTCCAAGTTACTCGTGATATGTTCTGGCAAAAACGATCAGAGAAGGCAACAGGGAATGTTTCTTTCGAATGATCTGCAACACTACATCGAATGAAAATCATAAGGTATGTGAAATGGGTGAACAAGAATGCGGCATATGGAAGCTAAAAGCTTCATAAATTATCAAGCATCAAAAGACAAATCCAGGACTCACCCATGAGCAAACCTGGTAATACCACTGCAACCCCCAGATCAGGTGTCAAATCGGGTATAAACCCCAGTCGCCGTTCGGGAAGAACTTGGGGGCTGGACGAGCCAGAGTGATAACCACTCTCAATAACAACTTGTCCATCCGGGTAACGAACCTCCGTTTGAACGTGTTTTAAGTGATCGCGACGATCTTTCAAAAGGTTGGAAAGCATGACTGCTTCGTCGATGCAGTGGATCAAACGCATCATACGAGCCGACTCGACGGCGAACATGATAGCTGTGAAGATTTCAGCTCGCCGCCTCGCGCCATAATGAAACCCGTTTCACCGACACCAGCGAATAATCTTTCGAGGGCCCCAAAGCAGGGAGAAAAAAATCTTGTAAACGCGCCGCAATCTGCCGGAAACTCTCCACTTCGACTGGCAGAAGGGCACTCCCTTGCAAACCTTAAGGTCACAGAAATTTTTAAATAGAGAAAACGGTGAAAAAAAACAACGGTCACGCGGATAGAAGAAGCACGCATTGGAGATGCGTGAACTGCTCTCGTACGCGCGCTTGAGTTTCTTCGTCAACGAATGCGTTACAGAAAGCATGAAACCCACACTCATTGAAGCCTTCCTACAGATGGAACAACAGTAACGTGACGTCCATGGAAGATCTGCTCAAAGAATCTAACGCAGCACAAACGCGATCTTTATGAATTCCCGAAATGGAGTGAAAAATGAGCTTACCAGAAGGTGCACGTCACCATTTGACCAAATTCCTTCGTGTACATTATTTTCATCCTTCGCAGCAATAAATATAACACGGTTGAAAACTCTGCCATCACATCAGGCGATACGGGAGTTCAATTGTGAAAAATAACGCGCAACACAATTCCATCACTCGCACGTTTCATCGAAGAAACCTTTCGTAGTTCGAAAACCAGTTCGTAACTTAGATAGAGCACACCACAGAATTAAAGTTGACTTAGAATCGCTTTACTGGGAATTTCCTTTCTAAGCCCCACGGATTTAATCCATTCACGCGCCGTTTCTCAACGCCGATTTCACGTGTCGCCACTTTACGGTGCGCATGAGGCAGGCCGCCATGCCTACTCCGTCGCTAACCACAGAGTATTCTCACGAAAATTCCATAATGTACAATACTGTAATTCTACAGTGAATGAGTGAAGTACAGTAATGAAATTTGACAGCCCCTTGGAAGCTACAGCATAGATACAGTACTACTATTTATTTTTAGCGTTTTATTGATAGCATAATTTTATCGGGGGGACCTGAAACATGTGACATGCGCAAAGAATGGCAAATTTGAAGAGAAAAATAAGTGAAGTTTTCCTCATGCTGCCAAGGTTAACAGCAGATAAAGTATTCTGTCAATTGAGTATGCAGCAGACATTAAACCCTTGATCAGCTTAAATCGTACAATTTTAAAATCTTTTTTCAATTTGACACATGACGCCCAGGTGTGTATAGCTGGGCGCAGGTGTGGCTGGGCACTAGAAGACATTAATCCTAGATAGAAATTTATTCAACAGAAAAGACGCTTTTTGCACAAGCTAAGCATCCTCAATGATATTAATTTTAATTTTCTTTAAAATTGGTGAATTGTCTGTAAGTTTTCACTCCTACCAGTTACAATTTTGAAATATATCAGGATCAATCATCACATTCAGTACAATCCATCCGTTTCTTTCATTTGCAAAAAATTATATATATTCCAGTAATTTATCAGTAAGTAGATTTCATAGTTTTCAAACTCAATATGACCATACTGGTGGACGGACTTCTCGCCAGAGCTCACATGTGAGCTGCTGAATTTACTACAGTAGTGATAATATTAAACCTGAAGACCAACATTCATATCTTGTGTTGAAAGTATATATTGACTTTTGATAATGTTTTCATTTCTGTATATTTCATAATGATGCTTGCATGTGTGTCGTACAGTTTTAAAATTCTAAAAAGTTGCATGAATGATTGAATTAAATGTGAATATTTGTATGCTTCACTTTTACATATACAAAGTCTTATGGAATGAAATGCATGTTTTAGTAAAAGATCTGATAATCTGAATTATTTCAGTATACAGTATTATTTATTATCTTAAATTGCATTACATAAAAGGCAATACAGTACTTTACTTAAGTATATGGCTGTAAAAATTAATTTTATCTTTGTGCAATGTAAAAATTAAACATCCCTATGTTGAATAAGCCTTCTTTTGGCGCAACCTCAGGTCCATTTTTTCCTTTGAAATGTTGGCTATATACAGTACTGATCGAATCGGAGGGAGTTATATGAGGTTCAGTAGCATGCAAGCATTTAACTTTTCTCAAGCTCAGCATGACCCACCAGGAGTGAGTCATTCATTCCAGCTACAAATTACTGGTACCGGTGCAAGTCTCCCACCCTAGCAAATGTGAGGACTTGACTCTTGCAGTACAGTGCATCCACATCCTTCACCACCCTCTCCCACAGGGAACCGCGCCTTCTCGTAGAATCACCCTGCACTCCCCCACTCGCATCGCACACACCCACTCCCTTGCGCACCTCATATCACACATGATGAAAAGACAATACCGTACCTCCTGTGTTGGCCTCGAAGCGGCGTTTAGGCCGTGGCCGAGCTGTCTGGCCCGCCGGAGCTCCCATCACATCCGCAATAAAAAAATTACCCCGAACAGATGCCCAAAATAATGCATCAGTACAGTATAGAGTTCACGCTCCCAAGCCGAGCTGCTTCAGTCTTGGAGAGATTATATGCGTTATAGTCGGTTAGTGCATTCGCAGGCGCAGCTGGGAGCGGCGCGAAAGATAATTCTGGAGTTTAAAGGCTTAGCGTCCATGTTGTGTCTTCCTGCTGGCGATTTGAAGCCCCGACTGCCAAGATTGCATTGGTGTAGTCATTTGCCCCGCGTATTATACATACCTAGGTCTTCGAACCCATGAGGTGTCCCTTCTACATAAGGTGCGTACGTCCCTGTTTTCTTTGCATGGAATGGGCGCTCCAGTGTTGAACTCACCCCGAACTTTCGCTTGCCATGTTTTGAGATAGATCGTGGACTCTCACAAAAATTTTTTTTTTAAACGCGCTCGGCACATTTCTCAGCCTTAGCCCTGAGGAAACCGTTTACTTATTTTTTTTTAGAAGTTTGAGGGTGAAAATGTAATCTTCGATTCTGGAATATCACAGTGAAACATTTGAAGTTGTATCTATACTCGTATATCCGTGCTTCTTGATTGAGAATAAGTGGTACGGCTCTTGACCATGCGACAATTTGGTTAGGTCTGTTGTTCAGTTTGAGCGTCTTCACCTGAATTGTAAGTGAGTTGAGTTTGAAATTGAGTGTTTTATTTTTTTAAAGAAAATCTGATGCCAGGAAGATCTGAGGTTGAGCGAAAGATTGTTGCACACTTGAAAGCAAAATTTTTATTTCAAGTTGCAATCCTAAAAAAAGGCGGATTATCTTTTAAAACTTCAGTTCCGTGATCTTTTGGGAAAGTTCAACAGTGTACTTTACCTTGTTTTCCCGGGCGTGCTTAAAACAATAAGCTAACCTTACCTAAAATAACACGTTGTTCTTGAAACAAAATTCATCCAACAGAAGAAGAACTACTTTTTTGCCTGGAGCCTTCAACCCATGCCGTACGGCTTCTCCAAAAAATAAAAAATAAAAGAGGGAATTCAACAGTGTAACAATAAGGAAAATAACTTTCGAACAATGGAATGAAATTGTTCAACTGTAACTTGCAGATGAAAGCTTCGAAGACAAAAAAGATTTGCTTGGAGCAACATGAACATGCATTTTTCAAGACATGCGATCGACCTGAAGTCAACCACAGCAAAGGTTTTTTTTAAAGCGGTCTTTTGTAAAAATGTATTCCCTTTTCAAAAATACGGTTTATTTTTACTATAAAAATAGAAAAATTTCTTCAAAGCCACACGTGCTTTCTTCGTATGAATTTTTTAAAACCTATTTCTGTAATAATTTTGTATTCTTCAACACTCTTATAGTCAACGGTTTTTAGCGTGTTCCAAAAGCCTTCGAGCCAAGTAATAAAGAATCAGACATTTTCGTGAATAAGAATAATGCTTCGCAAAATTTTGGGGACGTCGTATACTTCAGATTTTCCAATGCGGTACCATAGCAGATTAATGCGTTATCTTTGGAGTGAAACAAAATTTTGCTTTGATAGTACCTATGAAGTGTCTGAACTGCCGTCCACATTTTCGACGTACATCATACAAAATGCACAATCTTGTGGGTTTCGAATTACGAAGTGTTCATTTTATCATCGTGTTTTTATTTGACATTTTTATCGGGAAAGGTATTCTGGTCTCGTCTAGGTATAAACCATAATGTCTCAGAAAAATTGCGAAACTTTTTTTATGCGTACAGTTTCTCGCTTAAGATCGATGCTGTTGTCGGAATCAGGGTGCGGCATGCGCATGTAAAATACGAGCGTTCCTATATATAAACCCGGCAAAAGCGAATGCATGAGCTTTTTCTGTTCTCTTCGTAGTCTCAGTCTATGTATAAACCTAATTAAACTACTGTACTGTGCACTGTGTAGTACTTAAGTCGATCTCATCAAATGCGAAAGTCGAAGTGGGATGAGAATCCAGAGGTTTTGCGCAGAAACAGCAAACATGCCGGGTTGAAGAAAAATTAGATCGTCCCCTTTTTTGAATGGTGCATGTGTAGGTGGACTTTCTCATACAACAAAACTCGATAAGATGAGACCTGGAAGAAATCGTTGCAGAGAGAATTTCGTTGTGGAGAACCAGTATATAACACGGGGAGAGAGCCCCCGTATGGGACTAAATCGAAAATAATTTTACAGAGAAATTCATTGTAGACATGATCGTTGTATAGAGAGAAACTTGATGTTGTTAAATATGTCATATATCTCACCTACTCTGCTTGCCGCCGGCGTCACTACCACTACGGGGACCCGCACAACCTATTCAGGCCGTCAACGGGACTTGTCCCTTAGAGGCACCGGCCGAGAAGGAAGTTCTTCTTCTTTTCTTCATTCTCCGTCTCTTTTTCCTTTTCGTTTTTCTCTCTCTTATTCTTCTCTTTCTTTTCATAACACCGAGAGGATGAATTCTCGAGCGCGTGATCGATTTGATCCCGGGTCCGGCGCGACGTCGAATTTGTTTTTGAGTCCCCGGGACGTGAAACACTCCGAAGCCTGGCGAGTTTCGCCCGTATGGATCGAGAGTTGCCAACGGTTTCAACGGAAGAAACCTCCAGCATGTGTGAAACCCCCGAGGTTCTTGAAATCGGAGCAACACCTCGTCACCAACGCGTGAGTAATCGTAGAATTGTCCAGCTCGAAAAATACTGTACTGTAGCTGCATTTTCTTAAGTTTTAGGGTACTGTACTGTACTATTCACCGACTGCCGTGAAAATAAGACCGATTTCGTGCCCCACCCTTTTCTACATACAAATGGAGGAAGGGTTTTATCTGAAACACAACGTGCAGTATCTTATTTCAGCCGACAGTAACAACAAAATATTCAAAATTACAATCGGAAGTTTCGTGATGAAAGTTCAATGGCAAGGAGGAATAGTTTTTTCTGGATCCGAATGCTCTGTCTTATTTCCGAATGCAGTAGTGGAATAGTCATTTTACATTTATTGCTCTTTTTAAATATCTTTCAGGATGGGGAGAAAGATAGAGTGTCTACTCGGTGATTCCAAAAAAAATCCTTGGTGGGATTTTATTTTCATTTTTTTAAACATTTTGTCCTTATGTAAAACTGAACAAGAAGCAAGAATACACCTTGTAAAAGGTTTGTTTTTATTTGTTACGTTTCGTTTGTTGCAAAGGTACACGATGTTTCGTAGAAGTTTTTATAAGGTAAGTCGTTTTTATTAATCAGCAACCTAAAATATAGAGTAATAGAAAGGTGTACAGAACCACACTTTTCCGAAAATAATTTAAGATATCAAATCAAAATTATTCATGAATGTATCTGCAGTTGAAAAACAAATTTACGCAAGAAACTTGGTACAACTGTCA